GATAGATAGAGAGACAGGTGGACAGACAGATGGACAGATAGCTAGATGGATGGACCAGTGGACAAATAGACAGAATCATAGATAGACAGAGCAATGGACAGATAGACAAACAGAGCCATAGACAGAGAGAGAGAGAGAGAGAGAGAGAGAGATGGACGGAAGGAAGGATACACAGATAGGTAGACAGTAAGACAGTAGATAGATGGATGGACAGATGAATGGACAGACAGATACATGGGTGGACGGAGCGACACAGACACATGGACAGATAGACGGATGGACTGATGGATGGATAGACAGATGGACAGACAGAGAGACAGAGGGACAGACAGATGGACAGACAGAGGGACAGAGAGACAGAGGGACAGACAGATGGACAGAGAAACGGATGGACAGACAGATGGACTGACGGACGGACAAGTAGACGAACAGACAGACTGACAGAGACAGACAGACAGAGGGACAGACAGACATAGACTGACAGACAGATGGATAGACAGACAGACAGAGAGATGGACAGAGAAACGGACGGACAGACAGATGGACAGATGGACGGACAAGTAGACGAACAGACAGACTGACAGAGACAGACAGACAGAGGGACAGACAGACAGACATAGACAGACTGACAGACAGATGGATAGACAGACGGACGGAGATGGACAGCCGGACGGACAGACAGAGGGACAGAGCACTGTCTCCGACCAGCACAGGGGCTCTTCTCCAACGCCCTGTCCCTCTGCCCCTCCCTCCGTCCGTCTGTCCATCCCCAGGCGTGGAGCTGACCCCGGCGGCGCCCGACACGCGTGGGACGGACACGAGTGGATCTGACTCTGGCACGATGGACACGCTTGGAAATGTCACGCGTGGATCTGAAACTCACACGATGGTCACACGTGTAAATATCACTCGTGAAAGGGACACGATCACATCCCTTCCACACTCACCTGATACACATGAAGCGCGCATGCGTGGCTCTGACACACGTGGAAATGTCATGCACGCCTCCCCCGCTCCCCCCGTGCTGCGCGAGGCGCCCACGGAGTTCGTGTCGGCCCACGCGGGCCTCACCCTTCACCTGCCCTGCACAGCCCAGGCCTGGCCCCCTGTGGCCCTGCACTGGCGTCTGCCTGACGGGACCCACGCGAGACCCGTGCATGCGCACACGCACCCTCGACTCAGTGACGTCTACGTCCTCCCCAATGGCACGCTGGTGCTGCGCCGCCTGCAGGCCCCGCGCCATGCCGGTGAGTACGAGTGCGTGGCCGCCAATGCGCTGAGCAGCGCGAGACGCACTGTGCACGTCGAAGTCACGCCCGCGCCCGCGCGTCTCCCCCCCAGCGTCCGACCCCGAGGCCCGCTCGCCACGCGCGTGCCCCACGGCGCTGACCTCACGCTACACTGCCACGCGCGCGGGGATCCCGCCCCACGCGTGTTCTGGAGGCTGCCAGACGGGCGCCTGGTGGATGCTGGGAGCAGGTGAGTGTGGGAAGTGGGGGGCATCCATCCATCCATTCACCCGTTCATCTACCCATCCATACATCCATCCATCCACTCATCCATCCACCCATCCATCCATCCACCCATCCATCCATCCACCCACCCACCCATCCATCCACCCACCCATCCATCCATTCATCTACCCATCCATCCATCCACCCATCCACCCTTCCATCCATCCATCCACCCACCCATCCATCCATCCATCCACCCATCCATTCATCCCTCCATCTACCCACCCATCCACCCATCCATCCATCCCTCCATCCATCCATCCATCCACCCATCCACTCATCCATCCATCCACCCATCCATCCATCCATCCCTCCATCCGTCCACCCATCCACTCATCCATCCACCCACCCATTCATCCACCCACCCATCCATCGATCCACCCATCGATCCATCCATCTACCCATCCATCCACCCATCCATCCATCCACCCATCCATCCACCCATCCATCCATCCACCCATCCATCCACTCATCCATCCACCCATCCATCCATCCATCCATCCACCCATCCATCTATCCACCCATAGTTGGGATAAAGATGATACCCCTTGATAGATAGTTAATTGATAGAGGATGGATTAGACAGATGATGTAGACACAGTAGACCATAGATAACAAATCGATTATCCATTAAATATTGATAGAGATGAGGTGGGGATGGTAGATCCATTAGCAGTGAATAGGTAATTGATAGGTCCTGGCTTGCCAGATCGCAAGGTAGAACCCTAGTGATCGATCATTGATAGATGATCGGTCAGGGATCGATACAAGATGAGTATTGGATGCATATGTCACATGTGCGAATAACTAACATTGGCTTCAAATTTGTCTTCCCTTCCTTATGGTCTTTCCTCCTATTACTTCCTTCCCTCCTTCCTTCCTTCCTTCCCTCCTTTCTTCCTTCCCTTCTTCCTTCCTTCCCTTATTCCTTCCTTCCCTCCTTCCCTTCTTCCTTCCTTCCCTCCGATCCTTCCTTCCTTCCCTCCAAGCTTTCCTTCCTTCCCTCCAATCCTTCCTTCCAATCCTTCCCTCCAACCTCCCTTCCCTACATTCCCTCCTTCCCTCCAATCTTTCTATCCTTCCTTCCCTCCAATCCTTCGTTCCTTCCCTCCAATCCTTCCATCCTTCCTTCCCTCCAATCCTTCCTTCCCTCCCTCCAATCCTTCCTTCCTTCCCTCCCTCCAATCCTTCCTTCCTTCCAATCCTTCCTTCCTTCCTTCCCTCCAATCCTTCCTTACTTCCCTCCAATCCTTCCATCTTTCCTTCCGTCCAATCCTTCCAATCCTTCCCTCCAATCCTTCCTTCCCTCCTTCCTTCCCTACATTCTCTCCTTCCTTCCCTCCAATCCTTCCTTTACCCTTCCCTCCTTCCTTCCCTCCTTCTTTCCTTCCTTCCTTCCTTCCTTCCTTCCTTCCTTCCTTCCTTCCTTCCTTCCTTCCTTCCTTCCTTCCTTCCTTCCTTCCTTCCTTCCTTCCTTCCTTCCCCTCCCCTCCCCAGCTCTGACATCCGGGTCCGCGCCTTTTCCAACGGCACGCTCTCTGTGCGTCCGGTGACGTCACGTGATGCGGGGGAGTACGTGTGCGTGGCGCGCAACGCGGCGGGCGACGCGCATGCACGGCTGCGCGTGGAGTTGATGGCTGGGCCAGGTGCCTCCTATCTGCAACCCGGGCTTCCCGTGACCCCCGTGACCCCCGTGACCCAGGAGGCCGACCCCAGGGAGGACTGCACTGCCTACCACCGCCTCCAGGTCACATCCGGTGTCCTGGGAGACCCGGATGTTCGGGTCGCGAGGCCTGATGGGAGTGTGGGGAACTGGGACCTGGGGCCTGGGTTAGACCTCGGATGTGTGACCACAGCTGGGGGGGCGGGGCCTGGGGCGGGTTCTTCCTCTTCCTCTCAGTCACTTCCGTCTTCCTCTTCCTCTTCATTTCCTGTTTCCTCTTCCTTTCCTTCTTCCTCTTCCTCTCCATCTCTTCCTTCCTCTTCCTCTCACCATCCTTCATCTTCTTCCTTTTCCTCTGCTTCCTCTTCTTCTTTTCCTTCTTCCTCTTCCTTTCCTTCTTCCTCTCATCCCTTCCTGTTCTCTTCCTCTCAATCTCTTCCTTCTTCTTCTTCTTCCTTTCCTTCCTCTTCCTCTTCTCAGTCTCTTCCTTCTTCCTCTTCTTCCTTTCCTTCCTCTTCCTCTTCTTCACATTCTTTTCCTGCTTCCTCTTCCTTTCCTTCCTCTTCCTCTTCTCAGTCTCTTCCTTCTTCCTCTTCTTCACATTCTTTTCCTGCTTCCTCTTCCTTTCCTTCTTCCTCTTCTCCATCTCTTCCTGCTTCCTCTCATGTTTCTTCTTCCTCTTCCTTTCCTTCTTCCTCTTCCTTTCAGCCTCTTCCTTCTTCCTCTTCATTTTCTGTTTCCTCTTCCTCTTCACTTCCTGGTTACTCTTCACTTCCTGGTTCCCCTTCACTTCCTGCTTCACTTCCGGCTTCCTCTTCCTCTCCCACTTCCACCTTGCTGCCCCCTGAGCTCTCCGTCCCCTACGGCGCCCCAGTGACCCTCACGTGCCCAGTGACGCGAGGGTCACGCGCGGTGACGTGGCTGACGCCGGCCTTGCGCCCCATGGCCTTCACTTCCGGCCCGGAGGACGCCCACTTCCAGGTGCTGCCGGACGGACGTCTGCACCTGCGCGGGGTGCGGCGGGCCGACGCAGGCACGTACACGTGCGTGGCGGGGCGGGGCTGGCGCACCACCGTGCGCCTACACGTGCAGCTGCGGGCGCCGCGCATCCGGGTCACGCCTGACGTCCATGACGACGTGAACGACGACATCCGGGTCTCCCTCGTGGTGCGTCTGCGCGTGCGCTGCCAGGCGGATGGCGTCCCCGAGCCCCGCCTGCTGTGGGAACTTCTGGGTGGGCTGGTACTTCCAGTCCCGTATCGCAGTCGCACGGGGGGAGGGATCAGCGTGGATGCGCGCGGGACGTTGGAAATCCCGGATGTGCGTGCGCTGCACAGCGGTGGCAGCGATGCCGTGGTGTGCGTGGCGCGCAACCCAGCGGGCGAAGCCCGGATGTGGGTGCGGCTGCCGCCATGGTGGGCGCGGGCTCTCCCCGCTGCGGCGTCGGCTCCGCCCTCTGAGGCGTTGACTCCGCCCCCTGTTGCGCCGGCTCCGCCCCATCACGCACCTGCCCCGCCATCTTGGGCGCTGACTCCGCCCCCTGGTGCGCTGGCTCCACCCTCTGAGGCAGCTCCGCCCCCTGGCCCGCCTGCCCCGCCATCTTGGGCGCTGACTGCACCCCCTGACGCACCGACTCTGCCCTCTGAGGCGCTGACTCCACCCCCTGGGGCGGCGCCGGGGGCGGCGCTGCGTGTGGTGCTGGGCGGCAGCTTCCGGCTGCGCTGCCCCACCTCCATGCTTCCGGTGTCCTGGCGCCTGCCCGGGGGGCTGGTGCTGCGTGGGCCACAGAGGCATGGCCGCTTCACGTTGGGCGCCGACGGCAGCCTGGAGGTGCGCGCCGCCTCCGAGCGCGACCGCGGCGCCTACGTCTGCCACGCCCACCCCGGGGCGCCGCCCAGACACGACCCCCGTGTGCCAGAGACCCGGATGTTCAGCTTCATTCCCGCCACTAGGCCGCTGGGTGCCATGGCAGGGCAACGGACTGAGGAGACCCTGATGTGGGGCTTCATTCCCGCCGGTAGGCCGCGGCGTTCGGTTGCCGGGCAACCAAGTGAAGATACCAGGACATTGGGCTCCACCGCAGCGTCTAGGCCTCTGTGTTCGGTTGCCAGGCAACAGACCGAGAAGACCCGGATGTGGGGCTTCATTCCTGCCTTTAGGCCGCTGGGTTCGGTTGCCGGGAAAGCGCGTGAGACCCGGATGTCCGGCTCCAGCAAGACTCCTGGGCCCCAGCCGGAAGATGACCGGATGTGGGGCTCCAAACCTGCATGTGCTGTACAGAAGCTGCAGTCCGACCAGAGGCCACGGAGAGGCTAGGACCCGGATGTGGACTGGGAGGGACCCGGATGTGGACTGGGAAAGACCCAGATGTCACCTATCTCTGGGTCCACTGAGGGGCCAGGACCCAGATGTGAACTGGGAGAAACCCGGATGTCACCTATCTCCGGGTCCACTGAGGGGCCAGGACCCGGATGTGGACTAGAAGGGACCCGGATGTCACTTTCTTCCATGTCCACTGACCCGGATGTGGCATGGAGAAACCGGATGTCACTTTCCTCCAGATGCACTGATGGGTCAGGATCCGGATGTGGACTAGGAGGGACCCGGATGTCACCTTCCTTCATGTCCACTGAGGGGCCAGTACACGGATGTGGACTGGGAGGGACCCGGATGTCTCCCTCATTCGTGTCCACTGACCCAGATGTGGCCTGGGGAACCCGGATGTCACTTATCTCCAGGTCCACTGAAGGGCCAGGACCCGGATGTGGACTGGGGGACCCGGATGTCACCCTCCTCCGTGTCCACTCTCCCGGATGTGGCGTCAGGGACCCAGATGTCACTTATCTCCAGGTCCACTGAGGGGCCAGGACCCGGATGTGGACTGGGGGACCCGGATGTCACCTATCTCCAGGTCCACTGAGGGGCCAGGACCCGGATGTTGCATGGGGAACCCGGATGTTATGTAAGTCCGCGTCCATTAACCCGGATGTGGACTGTGGCAGGGACCCAGATATGTGCTGGGCAGGACCCGGATATCACATCCACAGGCCTGGCTGTGGCGTGTGGAGTCCCGGATGTCATGCTCCTCTCCTTCCACTGACAGGGTCTAGGACCCAGATGTGGTGTGGGGATCCCGGAGTCAGGTCCCTCCACATCCACTGAGGGTCCAGGACCAAGATGTGGAATAGGAACTACCCAGATGTTAGGGACCTCCAGGTCCATGAACCTGGATGTGGGGTGAGTACCCAGATGTTAGGGACCTCCAGGTCCATGAACCTGGATGTGGGGTGAGTACCCAGATGTTAGGGACCTCCAGGTCCGTGAACCCGTATGTGGGGTCGGTACCCAGATGTTAGGGATCTCCAGGTACGGGAACCCAGATGTGGAGGCGAGTACCAGGATGTTACTTAACTCCAGGTCCACTGGCAGGCGCCAGGACCCGGATGTGAGGGGTTTGGACCCGGATGTGAGGGTTGGGACCCAGATGTGAGGGGTTGAGACCCAGATGTGAGAGGTGGAACCCAGATGTGGGCGGAGCGGGCACTCCACACCTTGGCCCCGGGCTCCAGCTGCGCTTTGGCCGTTGGGGTCCTTTCCCAGACTCGGAGGCAATAAAGCAGCCATGCTGCTTCTGGATGGAATTCTTCCTCACTTCCGCCCCCCAGCGCAGGCCAAGCCCTCCTGAGTCCCTCACTTCCTCCCCAGCCCAGGCCACACCCTCCTGAGCTCTGGCACGCCCTACTGAGCACAGACCATGCCCCCTGGGCACAGGCCACGCTCCCTGACGGTCCTGACTCTTATTGCAGCCCTCCATGTAGTTCTCGAGGTTTCCCTCCTCCCCTTCCTCCTGCCTCTGCCAGGCCTGGCAATTTCTTGGCGCCCAGCCCAGCAACTCCAGGCTTTTCCCTTTCTTCCCTGCCTTCCCCTTCAGCACCACATCCTGTTCCTTTCCAAGGAACAAGGGGACTTTTATTTTGGAGGGGGGTTGTGGAGTTCTGGCTGCTGGAGTGACGTGGACATTTGACCCCTGCGAGCTTCCTGGCTGGCAGGGAGAGCAGCAGGCCCAGGCGCTGATGGCAGAGAACTGTGGATGTGAGTTCGTCCTCTGGGGAACACGGGGAGAGGTGTGGGGACCCGGGGTGGGGGGGCTTCGATTGCTTTTTGGAGCCCCCCCGGATGTCCCACCATGCCCTGGGGTGGGGGCTGCAGGGCCCTGCCACAAGCCTGGAAAGACAAGGTGAGGGGCTGATGTACTGGTGGGGGCAACAGCAGCCTGGCCCTGGGGTGGCCGGATGTTCCTCAGCTCTTCCCCACTTCCTGCTTCCGGCCTTCTCTTCCAGGAAACGGGGAGCATCATGGGAAGGATGCGATCCTGGGCGCCATGTTGGTCAGGAGAGGGCCTGGAGGGAGGGGGAGTCCTCCCATCCCTCCTCCCATCCACCCATCCATCCATCCACCCATCCATCCACCCATCCATCCACCCACCCATCCACCCAACCATCCATCCACCCACCCATCCATCCATCCATCCACCCATCCACCTATTCATCCACCCATCCATCCACCCATCCATCCATCCATCCATCCACCCATCCACCTATTCATCCATCCATCCATCCATCCACCCACCCATCCATCCATCCACCCATCCATCCATTCATCCATCCACCCACCCATCCATCCATACACCCACCCACCCATCCATCCATCCACCCATCCATCCATCCACCCACCCATCCATCCATCCACCCATCCACCCATCCATCCATCTACCCATCCACCCATCCATCCATCCACTCATCCACCCATCCACTCATCCATCCAACCATCCATCCATCCACCCATCCATTCACCCATCCATCCATCCATCCATCCATCCACCCATCCACCCATCCACCTATCCATCCAACCATCCATCCATCCACCCATCCATTCACCCATCCATCCATCCATCCACCCATCCACCTATCCATCCATCCATCCACCCATCCATCCACCCATCCACCCCTCCTCCTCCTCTCTCTCCTCCTCAGGTCGCACAGCAGCTGCGCAGCCCCACCCCTCGCCTTCCTCCTCCTCCTCCTCCCCCCTGGCCCCTGCGCAGGCCCCGCCCCCTCGCGCCCCAACTTCCTGCTGCTCTTGGCCGACGACCTGGGCCTGGGCGACCTGGGCAGCTTCGGGAACCGCAGCCTGCGGTGAGCAGAGGGGGAGGCCCGGATGTAGGGCCTTAGTTACCCGGATGTGGGAGCTCAGATCCCTGGATGTTCCACCAGGAGAACTGTATAGACATCTAGTAACTCAGTTCCCCGGATGTTGGATGTTAGTATGGTGGATGTTGGATATCAAATCCCCGGATGTTGGATCTTAGTGCCCCGGATGTTGGATATCAGGTCCCCGGATGTTACATGTTAGTACCCCGGATTTGAAGACCAGGTCCCCGGATGTTGGAGACCAGGTCCCCGGATGTTGGATCTTAATGCCCCGGATGTTGGATATCAGGTCCCCGGATGTTAAATCTTAATACCCCGGATGTGGGAAATCAGGTTCCCGGATGTTGGACTTCAGTTCCCTGGATGTTGGATGTTAGTACCCCGGATGTTGGAGACTAGGTCCCCGGATGTTGGATGTTAGTGCCCTGGATGTTGGATATCAGGTCCCTGGATGTTAAATCTTAGTACCCCGGATGTGGGAGATTATGTCCCCAGATATTGGACTTCAGTGCCCCAGATGTAGGAGCTCAGGTCCCCAGATGTTGGAGGTTAGTGCTCCGAATGTGGGAGCTCAGGTCCCCGGATGTTAGCTATTAGTACCCTGGATGTTGTAGCTCAGTGCCCCGGATGTTGGATCTTATTCCTCTGGATGTAGGAGCCCAGGTGCCTGGATGTTAGATCTTAGTGTCCTGGATGTTGGATATCAGGTCCCCGATGTTAGATGTTAGTACCCCGGATGTTGGATATCAGATCCTCGGATGTTGGATATCAGATCCTCGGATGTGGGATGTTAGTGCCCTGGATGTTGAAGGACAGGTCCACGGATGTTAGATCTTAATGCCCCGGATGTGGGAAATCAGGTTCCCGGATGTTAGATGTTAGTGCTCCGGATGTTGGAGATCAGGTCCCCGATGTTGGAGATCAGGTCCCCGGATGTTGAATCTTACTGCCCTGGATGTTGGATATCAGGTCCCCGGATGTTACATGTTAGTACCCCAGATGTTAGAGCTCAGTTCCCCGGATGTTCCACCAGGAGAACTGTATAGACATCTAGTGGACCTCAGGTCCCCGGATGTTGGATGTTAGGTCCCCGGATGTTGGAGTTCAATTCCCAGGATGTTAGATCTCAGTTTCCTGAATGTTGAAGATCAGGTCCCCGGATGTTGGATATCAGATCCCTGGATGTGGGATGTTAGTGCCCCGGATGTTGGAGATCAGGTCCTCGGATGTTAAATCTTAGTATAACCCAGATGTGGGAAATCAGGTTCCCAGATGTTAGATGTTAGTACCCCAGATGTTGGAGATCAGGCCCCCGGATGTTGGATATCAGATCCCTGGATGTTGGATCTTAGTGTCCCAGATGTTGGAGACCAGGTACCCAGATGTTTGAGCTCAGGTCCCAGAGGTTGGATCTTAGTTGTCCGGATGTAGGCCCTCAGGTCCCCGGATGTTGGGCCTTAGATCCCCGGATGTAGGAGTCCAGTCCACAGATATAGATCTTAGTACCCTGGATGTGGGATCTCAGGGCCCCAGATGTTGGACCTTAGATCCCAGGATGTTGGACCTCAGGTCCCCAGATGTTGGATCTTAGTATCCCGGATGTGGGATCTCAAGTCCCCGGATGTTGGATCTTAGATCCCCGGATGTGGGACCTCAGGGCCCTGGATGTTGGAGTTCAGCTCCTGGGATGTTGTGCATTAGATCCCCGGATGTTAGACCCCAGGTCCCCGTATGTTCTAGGCTGTGACTCAGTTTTCCTCTCCCCCCACAGCACCCCGCACCTGGACGGCCTGGCCCGGGACGGCGTGCGGCTGACCCAGCACCTGGCGGCAGCGTCCGTCTGCAGCCCGAGCCATGCGGCCTTCCTGACGGGACGCTACCCTGTGCGCCTGGGTCGGTATGGGGGGGTGGGACATTTGGGGAATGGAGGGGGCGGTGGGGGGGAGGTGGGGGCGGGACATCCGGGGATCTGAGAGCCAACATCCGGGGTACTAAGATCCAACATCCATGGACCTGATATCCAACATCTGGGGATCAGAGACCCAACATCGGGGATCTAAAGCCTAACATCCGGGGAACTGAGCACCAACATCCAGGGCACTGAGCTCTAACATCCAGGGACTTCATCTCTGACATCCAGTTACTAAGATCCAACATCCGGGGATCTGAGCACCAACATCCGGGGCACTGAACTCTAACATCTGGGGACCTTATCTCTAACATCCATTGTACTAAGATCCAACATCCGGGGATCTGAGGCCTAACATTCTGGGAACTGAACTCCAACATCCGAGGACCTGACATCCACCATCCGGGGTACTAAGATCCAACATCCGGGAACCTAAGCCCCAACATCCAGGGAACAGAGCTCCAACATCTGGGGATCTGAGGGCCAACATACTCGAATCTGAGCTCCAATATCCAGGGTTGTAAGATCCAACATCCAGGGAACTGAGCTACAACATCTGGGTAACTGAAGTCCAACATCTCGGGTCCTGATATCCACCATACAGGGCACTGAACTCCATCATCCGGGGATCTGAGGGCCAACATCCGGGATACTAACATCAAACATCCGGGGACCTGAGGTCCAACATCCAGGGAACTGAGGCTCAACATCTAGGGCACTGAGGTCCATCAGAGGGAGGGGAGGACTACTCTGAGGATCTCAGGTTCAAATTCCTGAGACTCTGGGACTTCCCCCCTGAAACGCCAGGAAACCGGAAGTGATGCCATATTGGTTTCCCCCGGGGGCTCACAGGGCTGGGGTCCTTTCCACCCCGGGTGCGCAGGTCCCAGGCTATCCCAGACACAGCAGGCCTTCCCCCTGAAGGTGCTAGATACCCCCTCCTGACCCGGGACGCCATCATCACTGACCTAGGGTCCTTCTCCTCTCTCTTGGAAGGCATGGTGACCACCAACGGGGCGCGCGTGCTGCAGTGGGCAGCCGTGTCGGGCGGGCTGCCCACCTCCGAGATCACCTTCGCCAAGATCCTGCAGGAGCAGGGATATGCCACCGGCCTCATAGGTAAGAAAGAAGTCATCCATCCACCCATCCATCTATCCACCCATCCCCCATCCATCCACCCATCCATCCATCCATCCACCCATCCATCCATCCATCCATCCATCCACCCATCCACCCATCCATCCATCCATCCACCCATCCACCCATCCATCCATCCATCCACTCATCTATCCATCCATCCACCCATCCACCTATTCATCCATCCATCCATCCATCCACCCACCCATTCCCCTATTCATCCATCCATCCATCCATCCACCCACCCATCCACCCACCCAACCATCCACCCACCCATCCATCCACCCATCCATCCACCCATCCATTCACTCATCCATCCATCTCTTCCCCTCCAGGCAAATGGCACCTGGGCCTCAACTGTGAGTCCCCCACTGACCACTGCCACCACCCCCTGAACCACGGGTTTGACTCCTTCTTCGGGGTCCCCTTCACCCTGATGGGGGACTGCCTGCAAGCGGAGCCCTCGGAGAAGCGAGCGCGTCTGCAAGGGCCCCTGGACCTGGGGGCTCAGCTGCTGCTGCTTTCCCTGCTCTGCCTGGCCGCTGGGAAGGTCACTGGCCTGCTGGGCCTGCGCTGGGTGCCCTGGGTGCTGGGCCCCGGATGTGGGGCCTTGCTCCTGGCCTGCACCTCCCGCCTCCTGGGTATCTTCATCGTCCATGCTGACTGCTTCCTGATGAGGGATCACCAGGTCGTCCAGCAGCCTCTGAGGTTTGAGGCCAGTGCGGGGCTCTTCTTGCGGGAGGCTGAGGCCTTCATCCACAGGTCAGCCTGGGGTCGGGGAGGGGGACCAATTCCATCTACTAGATCTCTATAGTCAACTGGTAGACCTTAGATCCCTGGATGTACATCCAGTAGATCTCTATAGACATCTGGTAGACCTCAGGTCCCCGGATGTTCCATCTAGTAGATCTGTAGAGACATCTGGTAAACCTCAGATCAGACCATGATCGATTATTGGTAGTATTGATCAGATCATGATCGATTATTGGTAATAACTGATCAGATGATGTTCGATTATTGGTAATAACTGATCAGCTCATGTTCAATTATTGGTATTATCGATCAGATGATGTTCGATTATTGGTATTATCGATCACATCACAATCGAATATTGGTATTATTGATCAGATCCTGTTCGATTATTAGTAATATCTGATCAGCTCATGTTCTATTATTGGTCATATCGATCAGATGTTTGATTATTGGTAATAACTGATCAGATCTGTTTGATTATTGGTAATAACTGATCGGATCACGATTTTGGTATTTTTGATCAGATCACTATTGATTATTGGTATTATCGATCAGATCATGATCGATTATTGGTATTATCGATCAGATCAGGATCGATTATTGGTAATATCTGATCAGATCAGGATCAATTATCGATCATCTGATCGATTATTGGCAATACCTGATCAGGTCGGTTATCAGTGAGGTTATTGATGGTGGGGGCGGGGTCTGACGTGGATCCGCAGGCACCAGGCCCGCCCCTTCCTCCTCCTCGTCTCCTTCCTCCACGTCCACGTCCCGCTGGTCACCTCACCTGCCTTCCGGGGCCGCAGCGCGCACGGCGCCTACGGCGACAACGTGGAGGAGCTTGACTGGATGGTGGGTGAGTGCGGGGGGGCAGGAACTGAGGCATGGTGCGTGGGATGGGGGAAACAGAGGCACGGGGGTGGGGTGAGCAGGATAGGGAAACTGAGGCATGGGGACGGGGTGAGCGGGATGGGGAAACTGAGGCACAGGGGTGGGGTGAGTGGGTTGGGGGAAACTGAGGCACAGAGATGGGGTGAGCGGGATGGGGGAAACTGAGGCATGGGAACGGGGTCAATGGGTTGGGGTAAACTGAGGCACGGTGCATTTGGGTAAACTGAGGCACGGGGACGGGGTCAGTGTGTTGGGGATAAACTGAGGCATGGGGTTTGGGTAAACTGAGGCATGGTGCATTTGGGTAAACTGAGTCACTGGGCATGTTGGGGGTAAACTGAGGCACGGTGCACTTGGGTAAACTGAGGCACGGTGCATGTTGGGTAAACTGAAGCACGGTGCATGTTCAGGGTGAACTGAGGCACGGTGCATTTGGGTAAACTGAGGTACGGTGGATGTGGGTAAACTGAGGCCCGAGTATAGGGGTAAACTGAGGCACGGTGCATGTTGGGTAAACTGAGTCACTGGGTATTGGGGTAAACTGAGGCACGGTGTATTTGGGTAAACTGAGGCATGGTGCATGTTGGGTAAACTGAGTCACTGGGCATGTTGGGTAAACTGAGACATGGTGTATGTTGGGTAAACTGAGGCACGGGGACGAGGTGAGTGGGTTGAGTAAACTGAGGCACCGGGATGGGAGTAAACTGAGGCACGGGGACGGGGTCAGCGGGTTGGGGTAAACTGAGGCACGGTGCATTTGGGTAAACAGGCACGGTGCACTTGGGTAAACTGAGGCCCAAATATAGGGGTAAACTGAGGCACGGTGCATGTTTAGGGTAAACTGAGGCACGGTGCACTTGGGTAAACTGAGGCAAAGTGCATTTGGGTAAACTGAGGCACAGTGCATGTTGGGGGTAAACTGAGGCACAGTGCATTTGGGTAAACTGAGGCCCGGTGAGCGTTGGGGGTAAACTGAGGCACGGTGGGTGCCTGTTGGGTAAACTAAGTCACTGGGCATTGAGGATAAACTGAAGCACGATGGAAATTTGTAAACTGAGTCATGATGCATGTTGGGTAAACTGAGGCACGGTGGATGCTGGGGGTAAACTGAGGCACAGACCCATTTCCCCCCCCCCCCCCGCAGGGCGACTGCTGGCAGCGCTGGACGGTGCGGGGCTGGGGCGCCGCACCCTCGTCTACTTCACGTCGGACCACGGTGCCTCACTGGAGGCCCGGGCTGGGGGCGCCCGCCTCGGGGGTTCCAACGGCGTGCACCGAGGCGAGGGGGAAACTGAGGCAGGGTGGGCGGGGCCTCCCATGCAGCCCGACCCCGCCCCTTGACCTTTGCCCTCCGCCCCCCCCTTGCAGGTGGCAAAGGCATGGGCGGCTGGGAGGGCGGCATCCGGGTCCCTGGGCTGGTGCGCTGGCCCGGGACCCTGCCCGCAGGGCGCCTGGTGCCTGAGCCCACCAGCCTCATGGACCTGTTCCCCACCGTGGTGCGCCTGGCCGGGGGCTGGGTTCCGGCGGACAGGTAGGAGTTCGCCTGCCTGGGTCCCCACGGGGTGGAGGAGAAGGGGGGTCATCCGGGGCCTCGGGGATCCCGAGGGGGGGAGGCTGAGGCCTGCACATCCGGGTCTCTGGTTGCTCAGAAGCCTGCACATCTGGGTCTTTGAGGGCTCAGACCTGCACATCCGGGTCTCTGGGGGCTCAGGAGCCTGCACATCCGGGTCTCTAAGACCCAAGACCCGGGGCTCAGGCCTTGACATCCGGGTCTCTGGGGGCTCAGAAGCCTTTACATCCGGGTAACTAAGGGCTCAGGCCTGCAAATCTGGACCTCTGAGCACTCAGAAGCCTGGACATCTGGTTCTCTGAGGACTCAGGCCTTCATATCCGGGTCTCTAAGGCATCAGGGCTGCACATCCAGGTCTCTGAGTACCTAGGCCCAGGTCTCAGGCCTGGACATCCGGGTCTCTGAGGGCTCAGGCCTGCACATCTGGGTCTCTGAGGGCTCAGGCCTGCACATCCGGGACTCTGGGATCTCAGGCCTGCACATCCGGGACTCTGGGATCTCAGGCCTGCACATCCGGTCTCTGGGGGCTCAGAAGCATGGACATCCGGGTCTCTGAGCGCTCAGAAGCTTGGATATCTGGGTCTCTGAGGCCTCAGGCCTGCACATCCAGGTCTCTAAGACCAGAGGCCTGGGTCTTAGACCTGCACATCCGGGTCTCTGGGGGCTCAGAAACCTGGACATCTGGGTCTCTGGGATTTCTGGCCTGCACATCCGGGCCTCTGAGCGCTCAGAAGACTGCACATCCGGGTCTCTGAGTGTTCAGGAGCCTGGACATCCGGGTCTTGAAGGCCTCAGAAGCCTGCACATCCAGGTCTCTGAGGGCTCAGAAGCCTGCACATCTGGGTCTCTAAAGGCTCAAGCCTTGACATCCAGGTCTCTGGGATCTCTGGCCTGCACATCCGGGTTTCTGGGGGCTCTGGCCTGCACATCCGGGTCTCTGAGTGCCCAGAAGCCTGCACATCCGGGTCCCGCAGGGAGGTGGACGGCCGGGACCTGATGCCCGCGCTGCTGGGGACGGCGCAGGCCGCAGGCCACGACTTCCTGCTGCACTACTGCGAGGCCCGGCTGCACGCTGTGCGCTGGTTCGACCGCCCAAGTGAGTGCCTCGACCTCAGTTGGGCCCTGGGGCGGAGGAGGGAGCTGCATGCATGCGCGCAGGGACCCGGATGCAAGGCCTGGGGGTGGGAGACCCGGATGTGGGAATCCCGGGATGTGAGGACCTGGATGGAAGTCATGAGATGGGAATCCCCGGATGTGAAGTCCCCGATGGGAATTCCCGGATGTGAGGTACTGGATGAGAATCCCTGGATGTGAGGCCCTGGATGTGAGATCCCGGATGTGAGGCCTCGGATGGGAATCCCCGGATGTGAGGCCCCGGATGTGAGGTCCCAAATGGGAATCCCTGGATGTGAGGTCCCAGATGAGAATCCCCGGATGTGAGTCCCCGGATGTGAGGTCCCACATGTGAATGCCCGGATGTGGCCCCCCCGGATGTGAATCCCCAGATGTGAAGCCCCAGATGTGAATCCCCAGATGTGAAGCCCCAGATGTAAGGTTCTGGATGTGAGGTTCCGGATGTGAATTCCCGGATGTGAGGTCCTGCATGTGAATCCCCGGATGTGAAGTCCTAGATGGGAATCCCCGGATGTGAATACCCAGATGTGAAGTCCTGAATGGGAATCCCTGGATGTAAGGTCTTGCATGTGAATGCCCGGATGCGAATCCCCGGATGTGATGTCCTGGATGTGAATTCCCGGATGGGAATCCCCGGATGTGAGGCCCTGGATGTTACTCCCCCACCCCCCGCAGGCCGCACGGTGTGGAAGCTGCACTTCGCCACTCCACGCTTCGACCCGCCGGGCTCGGGCACCTGCCTTGGTTTCCCTGCCTGCGCCTGCTCGGGGCGGCGAATGACCCGCCACCGGCGGCCACTGCTCTTTGACCTGACGGCGGACCCAGGGGAGACTCGCCCGCTGCAGGGCCCGATGGCGACGCGCAGGCGCGTGGAGGCCGCGGTGGCCCGGATGCTGCGCATGCGCCGCCCCCTCGCGGCCCCGCCCCTCGCCCCTGCACACAACACCTGGAGCCCGCGCCTGCAGCCCTGCTGCTCGCCCGGACCGCTCTGTGCCTGCGACCACCTGATCCCCGACCTCTGACCCCGACCCGACCACAACCACCAACTTCCCTGGGGCTATGGCAGATCCTGGCCTGCGCCTCTCACATCCGGGGACTCACATCCGGGTATTAAACATCTGGGTATACTCAAATACAGAAATTCCCACATCCGGGGATTCCCACATACAGACTCTCACATCCAGGGATTCCTACATCCGGGGATTCCTACATCCGGGGATTCTCACATCCGGGGATTCTCACTTCTGGTGACACATCCGGGGATTCCCGGGGATGTATTTACACATCTGGGGAATCCTACATCCGGGGACTTTTACACCCGGGGATTCTCACAACCAGAGACTCTCACATCCGGGGACTTTTACATCCGAGGATTCTCACATCCAGAGACTCTCACATCCGGGGATTCCTACATACAGACTCTCACATCCAGAGATTCTCACATCCGGGGAGTCTCACATCCAGAGATTCCCACATCCGGGGATTCACATATCCGGGGATTCCCATATCCGGGGATTCCCACATCCGGGGATTCTCAGACCAGGGAATTCCCACATCTGGGGAAATCTCACACCCGGGGATTCCCACATCTGGGGATTCTCGCATCCAGGGATTCTCACATCTGGGGATTCCCACAGCCGGGGATTCTCACATCCGGGGATTCCCACATCTAGAGATTCCTACATCCGGGGATTGTCACATCCAGGGACTTTTACATCCAGAGACTCTCACATGCGGGGATTCTCACATCTGGGGAACTCTTACATCCGGGGATTTTCACATTCAGAGAGTCTCACATCTGGGGATTCTCAGACCCAGGGATTCCCACATCCGGGGACTCTCACATCCTGAGCCTCTCATCCTGGACCTCCACCTTGGTCCTCCCATCCGGGGCCTTTTCCCAGCCTCCCATCCGGGGCCCTCTCACATCCGGGCCTATGTCCTCTAACTTCTCACACAATAAAACCTCGTGAGCACCGCACCGCACGGCAGGGTCAGGGGTCACCGGGGTCAGAAGCCGGGCACTGGTCCTGCCTTCCATTTCAGGTCATTTCCGGTTGATGCTAGGATACAGGGCTGGTCCCCCCTTCCATTTCAGGCCACTTCTGGTCGTTGCTAGGGTATAGGACTAGTCTCACCTTCCATTTCAGGTCATTTCCAGTCATTGCTAGGGTATAGGACTACTCCCACCTTCCACTTCAGGTCATTTCCGGTCATTGCTAAGGTATAGGACTAGTCCCACTTTCCATTTCAGGCCACTTCTGGTCATTGCTAGGGTATAGGACTGGTCCCGCCTTCCATTTCAGAACATTTCCGGTCGTAATACAGGGCTGGTCCCACCTTCCATTTCAGGTCATTTCCGGTGGTTGCTAGGGTATTGGACTAGTCCCGCCTTCCATTTCAGGCCATTTCCGGTGGTTGCTAGGGTATTGGACTAATCCAACCTTCCATTTCAGACCATTTCCAGTGGGTTGCTAGGATACAGGCTTGGTCTTGCCCTCCTCTAGGACATCCCACCACCTAGATTCACACCTGATTGGCCTATTCCATGAAAGCCCTGCCCTCACTTTCCTAATTCACTTGTCATTGGTCCAGCTGTAAGACATGCCTTTTAGCCCCCCCACAAATCCAACTCGCTGCTGATTGGACCTCACACGACAGTCCTGCCCCTAACTACCTGAACTCGGATTCAGATTGGCCCAGCGGGATTGGAGAAGTGGGGTACCCGGATGTTGGCCCACTCTAAGGGGGGGCGGTGGTTGGGTGGATGGATGGGTGGATGACCAGGCCTGCGACCTCTTCCCCTTCTGTGCCTGTCCCAGGGGACCCCAATGACCTCTCCAGGGATTGACCCGGATGGGCCTATAGCTCCTTATGGCGGTAGGATAAGTCGAGGTTGGAGGTCTGTGTCTCCCTAGGCCTAGGATGCATTGCACCTGCACGACATCCGGGTCTTCTCTGGAGGGAGGGACCCATTGGCTTCCCCGGGGACTCCTCCAGCCACGCCCCTGCTCTGATTGGCTGACACGCCTGTCTCTCCATCCTTTGGCCCTGCCCAGGGAAGCTGGGGGTCCGGTCCCGCCTCTTCCTTGGGTGATATTGAAAGTCAGGGCATGCTGTCCATCATCCCTGGGTCCCCCCTCCTGCCAAGCCAATAGCTGGAGAGTCGATATGTGTGAAGCCACGCCTCTTCGTGGCTAGCTCTATGAATGCTGTGGGTGCCCATCACCCAGAAGTCCCGCCCACTAGTGAATGTATGGGCTCAGGGGCTGTCCTTCACTTCCAGGTCCCGCCTCCTGGCTGTTGGAAGGCCACAGGGGCTGTCTGTCTCTTCCAGGTCCTGCCCTCTGGCTGTTGGAAGGCCATAGAGGCTCTCTGTCACCTCCAGGCCCCGCCCAATGGCTGTTGAAAGGCCACAGGGGCTGTCTGTCTCCTCCAGGTCCCGCCCCCTGGCTGTTGTGTGGACATTTGTCCTGTCTGTCACCTTCAGACCACGCCCCCTTGTTGTATAATCATGTGTCCTATCTGTCATCTTCAGGCCACGCCCCCTTGTATTATCAAGTGTCCTGTCAACTTCAGGCCACGCCCCTTGCAATTAGATGGCGTGACATAAGTGTCCATGAACAGGGACAGGAAGTGCCCCTAGTCAAGACCAGAAGTTCTTGTATACTAGGGACCGGAAGTCCCCATAGTCAAGACCAGAAGTTGTTATATACTAGGGACTGGAAGTCTCCACAGTCAAGACCAGAAGTTCCTACACACTAGGGACCGGAAATGCCCTTCCCATCAGGACCGGAAGTTTCTATATACTAGGGACCGGAAGTCCCCAGTCAGGACCAGAAGTTCCTATATACTAGGGACTGGAAATCTCCACAGTCAAAACCGGAAGTCCCCATAGTCAATACCAGAAGTTCTTATACACTAGATACGGGAAGTTCCTCTACACTAGAGACTGGAAGTGCCCTTCCAATCAGGATGGGAAGTTCCTATACACTAGGGACCGGAAGTGTCCTTCCAATCAGGACCAGAAGTTCCTGTACACTTGGACCGGAAGTCCCCATAGTCAAGACCAGAAGTTATATACTAGGGACTGGAAGTCTCCACAGTGAAGACCGGAAGTTCTTACACACTAGGGACCGGAAGTCCCCATAGTCAGGACTGGAAGTTCCTATACACTAGGGACTGGAAGTCCCCAGTCGGGACCGGAAGTTGTTATATACTAGGGACCGGAAGTTCCCAATCAGGACCGGAAGTTCCGATACTCTGGACCAGAAGTTCACATACTGTCAGGAGGGGAAGTTCTCATGCAGACCGGAAGTCCCAATACACGCCTGGGCCCAGATCAGGAGGGGACCGGAAGTGGGGCGGCTGAGGGGGCGGGACTTACCCTGGAGGGTATCCGTGGATCACGTGTTCGTCACCAGCACCTGGGGTGGAGGGGGAGGAGAGACGCAGCCCTGGGAGCTCAGCCTCCACATCCGGGTTCTTACATCCGGGTCCCTACATCAGGGTACCCACATCCAGGTCCCTACATCTGTGATCCCATGTCTGGGTACCTACATCCGGGTCTCTACATCCAGGAATCCACACTGGGGTCTCCACATCCGGGTCTCTACATCCAGGTCTCCACACTGGGGTCTCCACATCTGGGTCTCTACATCCAGATCTCCACACTGGGGTCTCCACATCCGGGTCCATAAATCCGGGCCTCCACACTGGGTTCCCTACATCCGGGCCTCTACATCCAGGCCTCTCCATCCCCAGCCTCCACATCCGGGCCTCCCCCCTTCCATGTCCTCACCTCCTGTGCCTGGCGGGGGTTGGGGCTGGGGTGGAGGCTGGCGTCGGGAGGTAGATGTCTGCGGGAAGAGAGCGAGGGAGGATGGAGGCCGGCCTCTCCCCTCCCCTTACCCCCCTCCTTCCCCTGACCCCTGGCTCCTCCTGACCCCCCCTGACCCCGCTCACCTCCTTCCCGACCCGGAGGTCACGGCCTGGGCGGGTCAGGCAGCTGCGGGTACAGCCCTATGTGCCAGGAGTGGGCCGTGCCTCAGTTTCCCCACCCTGGGTGGGCCTGGTGTGTGTGTGGGAGGACCCCACTCATCTGAGATGGGCTTCGGGGTGGGATCTGTGGGCGAAGAGAGAGAGGGTGGTGACCCCTGACCTCCCCTGACCCCCCCAACCCCTGATCCCAAGGCCTCAGGGGGTGGCAAAGGGTCACATGGGATTCAGGCCCACAGCTGGATCAAGGCCCCATGTGAGGCCTAGCGGCCAGGGTGAAGCCATGGGGGGGGGAAAGGTGAGAGGTCAGGACTCACCGGGGTCATCCAGGGCATCGGCGAGGTCAAAGTCGGCCTGGCCTGAGGGGGAAAGAGGACAGTTGTTGGGGACAGACGTATGGATGGGGAGACAGATAGACACAGAAACGAACAGACAGACCGAGAGGATGACACACGGACAGACAGACAGGCAAGGGATGGACAGATGATCAAGACAGGACAGACAGATGGACAGACAGAAGAAGCAGATGGACAGCCAGGTGGACAGACAGACCAAGAGGCAGACAGACAGAGAGGAAGACAGATGGACAGAGAGGAGACAGACAGACAGACACAGGACAGACAGACCCAGACAGAGAGACTGAGAGGCAGATGGACAGACAGACAGACAGACCAAGAGGATGACACATGGACAGATAGACAGACAGACAGAGCCAGAGACAGATGGACAGATAGACAGACAATGAGACAGACAGAGAGGAGATGGACAGACAGAAACATGGACACACACACATGGACAGACAGGGGCCCAGACACAGACTGACCTGCAGACAGACAGAGACAGACAGATGCAGAGACTGAGGGACAGACAGACAAACAAGGGATGGACGGATGACCAAGACCGGATGGACAGACAGACAGGAGAAGCAGATGGACATCTAGGTGGACAGACAGACCAAGAGGAAGACAGACAGACTGTGAGGAGACAGACAGACAGACAGACTGAAAGGAGATGGACAGACCGACAGAAGCAGATGGACAGAGACACAGACAGACAGACTGAGATGCAGACGGACAGACAGACAAAAAGGAAGACAGATGGACAGAGAGGAGACAGACAGACCGAGAGGCAGGCAGACAGACATAGACAGACCAAGAGGAGATGGACAGACAGACAAACCCAGAGAGAGACAGACCGACACAGACAGACTGACTGACTGACAGACAGATGGACAGATGGACAGACAGACCCAGAGACAAACAGATAGACAGGGACACAGGCAGACTGACAGATGGACAGATGGACAGACAGACAGACAGACAGACCGAGAGGAGACGGAAGACAGACAGAAAGACAGACACAGAGACACACAGGCCAACAGGACAAGGCTCCGGCCTCCAACAACCCGGCCCAACCTGAAAATCCACTGCCACCTCCCCACCCCACAACCCCAG